GCATTTTTTTCTTAAAGAAATCTTAATGTAATGTTTTTCCATTGCAAATATTAATCACAGTTAAATTAAGGGGGCTGGCAGTAAAAACTAAGCTGAGCTGTGATGTCATCAAGTACAGCTCAGTTCCTATTGTAGAACGATACAGACTTGGTTCTTCATCTCACCTGTGCTTTGGTTCCTGTCCAAAACAGGTTTGACCAGGACGCACATGTGCAGAGAAAAGTAACCTTGTTGGGTGCGTGGACGGAATTTTTCATTCGGTCTTTGACTCTGCAGGAGACGGATGCATAGGAAGCGGACAGACGAAAACTTTCTCCTTCACGTTTGATTATGACAATGTGGATGTTTGCTGTTCTGGCCGCTCTCGCAGTAGCAGCCTCGGATCAGAGCTGTAAGCAGTTTAAATTTGATACAAACTTTATTCTGCTGAAAAGAAATGCACATTTAATGGAAATTTTCACCCCAAAAAAAACCACATTTCAAAGTTAAGACATAGATATATTATGATTATATGCGATGTAGTTTTGCTTTTTACTTGACCAAATATTGTAATTAGAGTTGAACCAAAAAGCTGTTTTTAATGTTATGCTAGCTAGTTTTGTTGGTGGGTGGCAGTTTAGAAGGTTTGTACCGCTCTGTTGGGACTAGCAGCCGAAAGATTCATCCTTATATAATACTGAAAGTTTTGTTAAATTTAAACATCTTTAAGTCACAGTATAGTAATGTGGTTACATATACAGACGCTGGCATGATTGTGGTTGATGTGAAGAAGGTGAAAGGAGATCGCACCTATGACCTGTCCAGAATGGCCTACTACATGGAGAAAGACGTATGTACAACCTTTTTGTGTGTGTGCACGTTTTGTATAATGGACCCACTGGCTAACTCCATCAATTCACGTGACTTTCTGCAGGTGAAGATGCTGCCACTGTTTACCGACCAGAGCAGACGCTTTACTCCTTCTGTGGATGGGCAGAACCTGATGATGGAGAAGATCATGATTTACTACGTGGATGAGGAGCCCCCGACTGTTAGTGCATCTCGTCCTCCTTGTCCAATTTTTTTAAATTTTTATTAAAGGAAATTTTAAAAATGCTTTTTTAAAGTAATCCCTTACCATCTAAATGTTAACACTCTTGAAATTTCACTTCTTTTTATATTAAAGGGGATTAAAGGCATGGTTAAACATTTTTATACTGAGACAAAGGGGAGTTTCTCTGGTTCGGCCCACTTAAGATTAAAGTGGGCTGGATGTGGACCTCGATGCAAAACGACTTTGACAGCAGGTCACAGTTAACGTACACTTGTATTTGCCAAAGTATGTCACAAACTGACACATGTAACAGTCCAGTGAAGCTTTCATATATTCAAGCTGACATTAATTTTTAATAAAAATATCAGTGCATTAGTAAAACGCAATAACGATTATTTTACGTCACCTTTACACGTGAGGCTGGGTGACTCTAAGTCATGACAGTGCCTTGACCCCAACAAAAGAATAAAATAAAAGCAGAACAAAGTAGATCCTTCCTCAGCTCATATTTCTGAGTCCTCTGGTCCTGTTTAAGCCTTTGAGTTGATCGATTTTGGTACAAAGTAGAAAAGGCTTGTGGATATTCTGGGGTTGCTGTAACTCAGGAGGAAAGTCTCTGAGTGAAGATCAGATAAAATCTGATTTCGGATGTTTATGATTTGTGTTAATGTGCGTTCCTACTAGAAAATAAAATAACCATTCTCTCTTATTTTTAAAGGAAGTGTGCATGCATCCAGCCAAGTTTTTAAGTACATGTGTTCAACTGCTTTCTAATGTAAATATCTAATCAGCCAATCACATGGCAGTATGTAGACATGGTCAAGACAAGCTGTCATGTTCTGTTTTAGACTTCATCTGGGTGAGATTATATTCTGAGTGGTTTATGTTTGTTTTCTTGAAGTTTTCTGTTCTCGTTTGATCATTGATCAGAAGTTTGATCACGAGTTTCTGTTACGGTGTGGGTCTCGGGTTCTTAGTCATTCTTTCATTATGTTTAGAGTGTGTCTCTTGTTTCTGTTTCCTCTTTTATTCTGATAGACTGTGTTCAGCATATTTAGTTTTGCTTCCTCCCTGTCTTGTCAGCTCTGATTAGTCCCAGTTGTGTAACCGCCTGTTCCAGTCCCCTCGTTATCCTGCCTGTGCATTTAAGTCTTCAGTCTCCCTGCTTGTTGTCACATCCTCCACGTTAGCTGTGTGTTGTAGTTCCATGGTCTCAAGTCTCTGCAGTCGTTAGTTCTAATTTGTCTTTATTTTGTTTCCTTCATCTGCTTTGTTTTTAGTTCATTTTACCAACAATTAAAGCTGCTGCTTTAAAGTTTGTCTCAGAGTCCTGCATTTGTTCCAACCCTTGCTTGCCGCACAGCTCACCATGACACGAGCTGCTGGAGTTCAAGCCAAGCATCAGAATGGGAAAGAAAGGTTTAATTTAATTGATTTGGGACCTTGCATAGTTGTTAATGCCAGGCAGGTGAGTATTCTGGAAACGGTTGATCTACTGGGATTTTGATACACAAACATCTTTTGGGTGGACAGAAAATGGTCTAAGAGAAAACACTGATGTCAGAGGAGAATGGCCACACTGCTTTAACATGACACAACGGCAACAGTAACGCAATTAACCACTCGTTACAAACA